CTTAGATCGATTATCCGGCAAACCGGCCCAATTTCTGTGTTCTGAGTAGATGTAGCAGCCATTACAGTATTCTCAGAGGTATAGGAGGTCGCTAATTGTGATGGCTTCATAGATGTTACTGATGGAACAGACCTAACAAGTGGTGATTTCTGTACAACCTGAGATGATTTGCCGTCTTTCTCATCTTCAGATTCAGTAAGAAATAAACATAGACCAAGTTTTTCTGAAGCCACAGATTCTTTTTCAGGTTGTTCTTCCATTTTCTTACACTTTGTCCTTGTAGATCTAGTAGGCTGATCTACACCTAACTCGTCAAACATTCGTTTCTTTGTTCTTGTTGTCCTTGGTTTTTGTGATTCATTGTCTACTGATTTATTAATGTCATTCTTGACTGGAGTGTCAGTTAAGGAAATTACCTCTATCACCGTTTTCTTTGTACGAGTAGAACGAGACATTGGGATTTCCTCAGATGGCTGTGCAACAGCTTTCTCATGGGTATTATACCCCTCCTCTACTGAAGACTGTGAATCATATTCCACATTTTCAAATTTGTTAGTCTGTTCTTTTGCCTTAGTCTTTGTGCGAGTCATTCTTGGTTTTGGAAAGTCCATGGGTGGTAACAACTGACCTTCTGATTCATCAATTGTATTGAGCAATGGTAAGACCTCCTTTTGCTTTGTACGAGTTAATCTTGGTTTGGGAATGGGATGAGGCTGATCTGCTGTGCTTACCATATTATCTGTTATATCTCCTCGTGTTGATAACTGCAATTCCTTTTGTTTTGTTCGAGTGGTTCGACCACTTGGTATTGGTTGTAACAAGTTTTTCTGTTTGCTCTGGCAAAATCCTAACTTCTTCAGGGGTTCTGGATTGAGAATTACACTCGTCATAATTCTCACATTTTGTACATGCATTTTCAGTACAATTATTGGGAGATAAAGGCTCTTCTTTTTCTTTGCCTTTACACATCTCATTCCCTGATCTCTGAACATCCAGTTCCTTTATTCTGGTGCTTTTGTTATCGTCGCTGTCTTCTAACCTGAGGTTAGAGTATGAACAAGTTGTTTCACTAATACAACCTACACCTTCCTCCTGATATGCATTTGTAACAGTAACTTGTGTTGTATCTTTTGAACTATCTACTTCTTGAGATGTGTGTAAATGAGATAATCTTTCAAGACTGACTTTAACACTTAGACATTTTACACCATCATTCTTCTTACTTGGTGTGTCTAGTGCTAAAGGATTAACAGCTGATTTACAAGGATCAACAGTTGATTCATATTCCATCTCTTCAAAATGAGACTCACAATTTTCCCCATGACCAGAGTCTGCTCCTTTTACTTCTTCTTTATAACTGAAAAAAAGGCATAAATCAGTAAATTACATAGACTACAGGTACATAAATATATATTTTCTGAAGTATTTTAACATCACATGGTTGGCCAAATTCCACAAGTTTACCACAGTACGTTAATATGGATATGGTAGTTACAAGATCTGTCACTTTAGAGTTCATATACCTGAGACAATTACTTTGCTTAAAACAGCTACCACTGAAAATGTTGCCTAGGCATTTTGCATATTCAATTTAGGCTCTGTCTGCCCTCTGATCTAAGCTAATCAAACAACTTTAACCCCACATCTACTCTCACCCACATGGCCACACCAATGGAGTTCCTATAAAACATTCACTTGAGTTATTATAAAATGGCAAGTAAGGTGTCAATGGTCCATAAATACCTGGAGCTGCTTTCAAAGGAGTCTCCCTTGAAAATAACCTGACATGTTCCTCTTGTCTTTTTTGTTGTCATAGGTACCCTTTTCATTTTCTCGTGAGCGAGCTGTCAGAAATAGTAAAATAATCCAAGTTATGGCTATAGAAAATACAGTATTATTCTTTGAAATTTATCACAAATTTACATTGCTAACATGCGTCAAGTGTACAGTATTATGTACCCAACATGATTACTAATAAGAAACTATTTATCATTTCGTCCTTACTAATGAGATACAAATTGCAGCGAGGAGAAAAATATGAAGGAACAAAATACAAAGCACTTGAATAATTGTTCCACATACAAAAACTTCATAGGAGGGATGTTAACAGAGAATACTTTCAAGACCAGTGTATTCAGCAACAGGAAATGGCTAAACAGAACAAACAAAAAAATCATTACAGTACAATTATTCCTGTAACAATTTGGATAATTACCCGAGATGCAGCTCTGCCCCTCCTTGGGGGTGTTTCAAGAGGGCTTTGATTATTGATGTTGCTTCCTGTGTTACAAGTGGACAACCTCTTGGATGATGAAAATACTTCATCTTCTGCGGGGATGCAGGTGGAATACAAGATGATAATAATAAAAACAGCAAACACTATGGAAAGACATACAGTACAGTACAGTATTCCAAGTTACATTCCTAGATCATGTTCATAAATAAATTTATTGGGAACCCAGAACCATGGGTAGTAGGCAGCTACCAAACATGGAGGTACTACCACCTGGGAAGATATTGGCAGCATAAGTATTGTCTAATGGTAGACTCTGCTGCCATATGGCACCACAAAAATTGTGACCAAGTCCCAGGTTGCTGAACTGACTTTCTGCCTCATTTACACACAATTGCAGGGTCTCAATTGTTTCTCTTACTTTGACAACACAGCATACATATATTGTTTCTCACTCTTGAACTTTTTTTCCTTTCTTTTTTCTATTGTCATTTATTATATCATCATTATAATCAGTATTACTGTACAGTATATCATACACATTTTTATTTTTTCTCATTTTTTATTATTATTATATTTTCGCCCCCAGGCCCTGATGTGGGTCATTGACCTGTGCCCTGGTGGGCTAATTCCCCCCCCTTCTCCCAATAAATAAAAAATTCACAATAAAATATAAATAAAACCCATCCCTACCGGTACTTATAAAATCATAACAAATTATAGCCCGTAAATAATATGTGGAGTCATAATGCTGAACAAAGTACAGTACAGTATTCATTAGTACAGTATTGTACCTGGGAAAGTTCGTAAGTTGATCTGAATTTTTATTATGACTATACTGTAATGGGATCATATTTGTAAATATGAGTATAATCCCTTTATTTCAAACTAATGGGGGAGACGGGGGTTTGGAATGCCATAAATTTAAAAATAGGAGGGAAGGAGGGGATTTTACTACTTACTACAGTACTGTATTACATAAAATTTAAATACATGTACAGTCAGTTCTGCTATAACGCGATAGTTGTGTTCTTGTAAAACATCGTGTTATAGAAATTCGTGTAATAGAAATAACAGGGCTAATGGAGAAAATAGGGTTAGGTGCAGATTACTACTCGAAATCGAAAAAAATTTAGTAGTTAGCCTAACACAAAGGATAGCACAGTCTAAATAAATGTTACATTCATATCTAATAATGAAATCATACAGTAAATGTAACACTTTACCTTGAAAAAATATGAATATAACTTGATGGGGAGAAGGGTGATTTTGAGGTTGATAACATCGAGCTTCTCTTCAAGTGTTATAGCCTTTCTTTTACGATCATCACCGGGAATGCGATCACCAGAACGCTTCTTGGAGATATTCTTCTTTACCATATTCACAGTTAATGCCACAAAATTGGAGAAATAGTAAGCAAAATCGTGTTACAGCAAACAAGCGTTCGAGTTATACAAATATCGTTCCTCTATTCATAAATCGCGTTAGAGCCAATTCGCGTTGTCAAAACACGCGTTATAGCAGAACTCACTGTATCCCTCATCTTGAAAACCTAACGTTCGAGTAAAATTATTGCTAAATGTGGGATAACAGCAAAGCTGAAAAATACCCATAACATAATATATACTGTAGCTCACAAGTGGGGAACAGTTACACCCCCCCCGGCCTGGTAGTGAGATCTAGGGGTACGGTAAGCAAGACATGGATCAAAATGCATGTAACAACTGTGGTGTTTATTGGTTTTATTGCTCAAGTTCTTAAATATTTTCAGTTTGCCTGTTGTGCTTAGAGATTTATATTTTCCTCTGAATTTTCCTCATTTGAACTCATCATTAATTTGCAAAGCTAATAGGACTGGACTTGGATTGATCAACAACAGATTTTTACAGCAGCGTGTTAAGCGCCAACTGACTTTCTATTAGTGGCTGCACCGTGGCTGGAATTTTGGCCTTAATTTGGTTAGGTTCAAATCAGGATGATATAAATTGAACATAGGCAATTGGTTCAAAGTAGAAATTATCTGTTCATGCTTGAGAAAAGTTTGAATTAGGCAAAATCTGTATTAGCCGAGTTGGAAATAACAAGGTTCTACTGTACAGTACTGTACTTTTTATCTTGAATATTTTTTTCACTGAACCTACTGTATCAGTTTTTGAATTGTATAAATGTAAATTAAATAAACCATAATTTATTAAAAACCTGAGACAATTCCCAAGGATTCCCATAAAAAATCTCGCCTGCAATTGATGAGTGATGAGGTTTCTTCAGTCGAGATTTCTTTTTGCCCAGAGGGGTCTTGGGCAAGAGAGTTGGATCAGGGGAGGAAAACAACTGACGGGCATTAGCGGTTACCTCTTCTAAACACAAGAAATGTTCCTGAATAAAAGAAAAAGAAGAATATATATATATATATATATATATATATATATATATATATATATATATATATATATATATATATATATATATATATATATATATATATATATATATATATATATATATATATATATATATATATATATATATATATATATATATATATATATATATATATATATATATATATATATATATATATATATATATATATATATATATATATATATATATATATATATATATATATATATATATATATATATATATATATATATATATATATATATATGTGCAAGTAAATCACTGTGTGGAAGTGTGGCATTGATCTGGTATATGCTGATAACCACAAGGAAAGAAGAAACCACGAAGTTCCCAAAGCAATCCAAGCCCTTAAGAAAAATAAGGATCTACATGTCACTAAAGCAGATAAAGCCAACACAGTAGTGATCTTAAACAAAGATGACTATATCTCTAAAATGAATGACCTCTTATGTGATACCACAACATATTCTAAACTTATAAATAATCCTCTCAACACTGTCAACACCCAGTTCAACAAAAAACTGAAGTCCCTATTGAGAGGCAAAGCTACTCTCATTAAACATCTTACTTCAACGTCCCCTCCACTGCCATACATGTACGGTGTAATCAAGACCCACAAGCCCAATAACCCAGCAAGGCCCATCATTAGCTCAGTTGGGTCAATCTCTTATAAACTATCTAAATGGTTAGTTTCTTTACTAAATCCCCTAGTTGGCAACATTTCTAACTCCAATATCAAGAATAATATGGATCTGGTTGATAAACTCAATAACTTACACATTAATCATGATTTTAAACTGGTCAGCTTTGATGTAACGTCACTCTTTACAAAGGTCCCAGTTGATGATTTACTAGAGTTCCTCATAGATTCCCTGGATAACATTTCACTGCCCGTCTTGAAAGACGACTTCATCGAACTCATCAAACTATGTATTAAGGATTGCAAATTCGAATTCAATGGGGAATATTATGCTCAAAAATTTGGTATGGCAATGGGTAATCCACTCTCACCTGTATTAAGCAACCTATATATGGAATTCTTTGAAAAGAAACTATTAAGTAATATTTTACCACCCTCAGCAGTCTGGTTTAGATATGTTGATAATGTATTATGTCTCTGGCCATGTAATGAGGACATTAAAGCTTTCCTACCACAACTTAACAACTTAGCCCCCTCGATCAAATTCACTGTGGAATTAGAGCAAGACTGTAAATTGCCATTCCTAGACTGTCTGATACACAGAATAGGTAACACTTTTAAGTTCAGTATTTATAGAAAACCAACTAATGTGTGTTCATACATTCATTATTATTCTGCCCACCATAATAAAGTCAAACAGTCAGTATTTTCAACAATGTTTTTACGTGCCTTGAGAATTTGCAGTCCGGAATTCATCGATGAGAAATACAAATATATATATAATATTGGCTCAAACCTTAAATACCCTAGATCTTTCATAGACAAATGCTTAAACATTACTAAGAAAACTTTTTATAGAACTGACCCCAAGCCCACCCATGACCATAAGAATATCTTAATATTACCATTTCACAAAAATTTCTCACACATTCCTGCACAGCTAAAAACCTGGAACGTCAATGTGGCATTTAAAAACTCATGCACTGTTAAACAAATGTTAATCAAGAACTCCCCAACAACACAATTGGTTGCATTTATAAAGTTCCTTCCAAGGAATGTAATATGTTTTACTTAGGCCAGACAGGTAAAGATCTTGCAACTAGAATTAAACAACACAAATACAGTGTTAGGACAGGCCAGGAATCCAATGCTCTGTTTGTTCATTTGAGGGATAACAAGCATTGCATTGACTGGGATAATGCCTCCCCAATATTACCATGTAATTCAATTGATAGTAGGAACATCATAGAATCTAGTCTTATTAAACATACCGAAGCATTCAACATGAATTTGAGTAGCGGCATGTACAAGCTGGACAATTTTGTAATTAAGAAGATTTGTGATCAGGTGAGAAGGCCGGGTCACTTGACCATCTGACCTGACCCCCAACCGTTGTGTGCTATTTAAAGATTAGTAGGGTCATTACCTAATACCTGACCATTGTGGACCTGGTCTCACCCTCCTCTGTATATATACACCTTGATTTGTATTACTCTCTCTAGTCTGTACTCACCCCTGAAGATGTGAATTACACGAAAGCGCTTGGGAACTTCGTGTTTTCTTCTTTCCTTGTGGTTATCAGCATATATATATATATATATATATATATATATATATATATATATATATATATATATATATATATACAGTTGTATCCCACTTAACGCGGTCAATAGAACCCAGAGGGTCCCGTGTTAAGTGAAATCCGCATTAAGTGAACAACAGAACATATGGGATTAATTCCAATAGAAACCGGCCCGACCCCCAAACTCCACTTTTTGAACACATAACTATGTTGTAGTAAAAATAACATCTTAATTTTATGATGGTACATGCACACAATTAATACTTAAGAGAAATAGAGAAATACAGTCGCCAAGTTAATGTCCATTCAAATAATGGACTCAACTCCTCCCCCTCTTCTCACACTACACTGCTGGCTCTTCCCTCTCTGAGAAATTTTTGGGGAAAACCACTAAATTTTAATAAATAATACCTCAAACTAAAGTTAGGGTAATACAATTGACATTGCTGGATTCCTTGTAAGACCAGGAATATTTTGAATATAAATGTCATATATTTTGCACAAAAGATAACATAGTTACTCAGAAAATTTTTTTATCTAAAATTTGTA